CTGAGAAATTTCGCATTTTTATTCTTGTGACTTGACATTCTGTATACCCATGTTTTGGAACGGCGTTGTAGCCTAATGGAACTGATTATGGCACTGTCAGTGTATCGAGTACATCACACAGATCTCAGCAATGAAATAATAACAATTTAACCATCTTACCATCTCTTGTTCTTTTATAGTGCCCTGAAGAAAGAATGTGAAGTTTCTTTTTTGACTCAGTATATGTTCTACTGTGGACCTGCCCCTCCTGAAACCGTTCTGCTCCTCAGCTATACAGTCCCTGGTTTCTGAATACTTGTACAGTCTTGTATTCAGCACCGAACAGTGCAGTTTATAGCTTGAATTTGTCAAGGAGATACCTCTTGATGATAAAGGGTCATATTTATCAGCACATGATGACTTCGGGATAGGATTGATGATATATATCCATGACATATATACATGTATATACAATCAATCACAGCGGACTGGTGTAAAAGCAGTTAAAACAACAATGATATTTGGGATAAGGTAACGCCAGTGACACAAATAGTGAGGATAAAGGGATGTGAATACAGTAGAGTGATGTACAGCTAATTAGGTGACGATTAGATTTGCCGGAAGCCAGATATGTACATGTGAGGTGAGGTGAAATGGGGTTTTACGTCGTGCTTGATAATATCTCGCTCATATGACGACGTGCATGCGTGTGTATGTGTATGTGCGGCTGCTTGTACTAGTCCAGACTGAAGCTGGTTTTATAGTGCTAGCCCACTGAGATACCATGCCGCAGTGAAGCATGAATATCCCACTCAGACACATTATACTGACTCCGAACCGACCAGTCCTTGTTGTACCCATTAATGCCGAGCGCCAGGCAGGGATCAAGTACCATATTTTAACGTCTTTTGGTATGACGAGGTCGGGGATGGAACCCGCGACCTTCCGCTCTCCGGGCGGACGCTCTAACCACTACACCACGGAGGCGGTCAGAGATGTACATGTATATACCTCAATCATTGAGGCAAGATCAAAAAGAAGTTATAAAAACAATGATAATTAAGATAAGGTAAAGCCAGTTGACACAAACAATGGGGATAAGGAAATGTGAACACAGAAGGGTGATGTACAACTGATTAAGTGACAAAAGAGGTGGGTATGGTGTGGCTGTTGTGATATTCCAGGCACTAGTGAGGTATACACCTTGATCTCTGTTAATCTCTGGGTTTAATCTCATTATGTTGATGGCTTCTAATATTTTCCGTTTTCGCCAATCGTGAGCATTGGTAGCCAAGATGCTAACACAAATTAATGTAATTTTAAATTTTAAAAAACAAACAACTCTGTATACTTTCTTTTGTTTTTCAGTTGAAAACACTGTAGGTCTACGAAAGAAATTCGCCAACTTCAAAAAAGGTTATTAAAAAAAGGTGGAGAACGAATAGAAATTATTTTGAACGCCAAAGTGGCGACATTCACACTTGGAAGATAATTAAACACTCCCTAATATATTTCATCATATTGATGTAGCTGTCGCTGATGATGACGTGTTTACGATACCATTGTTAGTACCACATTTCAGATAATGAAACACGAGATTTCAGTTTGAAAGTGTTGCCAAAACGCAGCCCACATCCATGTGAAGCATGCTATGTATGCTAGGTAATATAAACGAATGTAACAACTACAGACCTTTAGCACTAACTAGCTGTTTAGCCAAAGTATTTGACAAATGTGTTTTCAAATATCTATTTAATTATCTCAGAGACAATAACTTAGTAACAAATCTTCAGTCCGGGTTTACCCCTGGAGATTCACCATCTTACCAACTGACTTACCTTTATGATTATATTGCTAAAGAATTACATAAAGGGAAGGGAATAAGAGAAGTTTTTTGCGACATAAGCAAAGCATTCTATAAAGTATGGCACAGAGGAATCATTCAGAAATTGAAAGCTTACGGTATTTGTGGTAAACTACTTTTATGGTTTAAAAGTTACCTCGAAGATAGAAGACAGCGTGTCGTAATCAACGGCTTCAGTTCCGAATTAAAACCAGTTACAGCTGTCGTCCCACAAGGTTCCGTCTTAGGACCGCTATTATTTTTAGTTTATATCAACGATATTGTCGATGACATTGACAGTGATACGTCTGTTTGCTGATGACACTTCGCTCTATGTAGTAATAAACGATCCGAATGTAGCAGCAAAATGTCTGAATAATGATTTATCTGCAATATCAGACTGGGCTAAAAAATGGCAAGTTGATTTTAATCCAAATAAAACGGTCTCTATTCAAATTACCCGAAAACACTTTCAGAATATCAAACCAGTCTTATCGATGGATAACACTAGGGCTGCGCAATATAACCGGTTTACCGGTATTTACCTGTTCAGACATGAAAACGATACGTATTGCGATACGCTGATAGAAGACCGGTATTTTGACATGCATTCGGAAAACTTCGTAACACTCGGAAATCTTCGGATATTTCCGTTTTTGTAATTGTTCTTTTCCCTGTTTCATTAGTGCCAAATGTTACTTACATTTTTATTTTGTCATGATTAAAAGTTTATATAAAAGGTTAATCAATCATAGTGATTTTGTTGTGTTTTTGCTTTATAATCAAGCATTAACTGAAATTATAAGTAGTTTTTGTTAAAAAAATAATCCTTGCAATATATTGCAATACATATCGCAATATACGCTTCCGCATCGCAATATATCGCAATATGAAAATTCTCTGCAATACCCACCCCTAGATAACACTAACATAAATGACGTCACATCTCACAAAAATCTGGGAATTTTTGGATAGTTCTTCAAGAAGATTGTATGTGGCATAGTCAAATCGAAAACGTCATAAAAACGTCAGTCCAATGATAAACTGCCTAAGAAGTTTTAAATATTCAACAGGAAAACGCTGCAGACAATGTACAAATAATTTATTTTACCAATATTCGACTACGCGTGTCATGAATGGGATAATTGCACTAAAGAGCAAACGCTTCTTCTAGAGAAATTACATCTAGACCCTATCAGAACTATCTGCGGAGCTGTTCGCGGCACAAGTCATAATAAACTATATTCTGAGACAAATATTTCTTCACTTGAAATTAGAAGACGCCGTCAAAAATTATACATGGTTAACAAACTAGTTCCAGATCATTTGTCTAGTTTAGTTCCAGAAAAAGTATCGTCTGTAAGTGGATATAATTTTAGAAATAATTCTGACCTACAAAAAATATTAAATGAAATACTAGTTTGTACTCCAATTCATTTATCCCTGACACGGTAAACATCTCGAACCCCCTCCGTCCAGATATCGTAAACGCCAATACTCTTGGGGAATTCAAAAACAAACTAAGAGAACACAACACCAGTGAAATCTACTTTAATCTTTCCCATGGTTCAAGATCTTGCCAGATAATCCACTCCCGACTTCGGCTTGAGTGTAGCGATCTTAATGGAGATAAGTTTTCCAGATATATATCTGATAGTCCTGAATGTAACTATGGGCATCACACCGAAGATGCGCTTCATTTCTTCCTCATCTGTCCCATATTTAACGACATGAGATCAAATGCATACTTCTCTAGTAGAGGATTTAATTTGCCATCAATCTTATTTGGTCATTCGGGCTCATAAGAACGGTAAATCTGGAACTACTAAAATCGGTACATAATTATATCATATTTTCCCAGAGATCTCGCAATTTACCTAGCCTAGTTTTATTGTACATGCCGTGCCTTGCTGCTATACTGAGATCACAACAGCTTCTAGTTTATTTGCCTTCAATGTATGTTTGCAAATTGTAACACATTATATTGTAAATATTGTTCCTTGTAGATTCACATTATGTTTTGCACCCAGCTCATGTGTACGTCACTATCATTATTGTTAATACTATTGTATCATTGTTAGGGAGCGGCATTGATATAAGCATGTTTTTATGCTTGTTTACTAATCCCATCATGACTAAATGAATAAATATGTTTAAACCAAGCATGCTACCCATTGATATCATTGATATCTCTGCCTGGGCGAATAAAATCAAATATGCCCTCTGTGTCATTCATACACGTTAATATGGCCAGAAGAAGACTTTCATTGGGACTGACCAGTGATGATCCGGGTTAGAATAATTGATCTTCAGCAACCCATGTTTGTCGTAAGAGGCGACTAAAGGGATCTGGTGGTCAGGCTCGCTGACTTGGTTCACACATCGTATCCCAATAGCATAGATTGATGCCTATGCTGTTGAGTACTGGATTTTCTGGTCCAGACTCGATTATTTACAGATTGCAGCTATTTAGCTGGAATATTGCTGAGTGCGACGTTAAACAACAAACAAACAAGCAAATCATTCGAATGAGACCGCAGATAGTGGGTATACATGCAGCTAGAACGTCATTCAAGGTCATTGGATGGTCGCTTGAGAGCATTACCATGTGCTGAGGAATATTTGCCCTGTTGTGGAGGCTGACATCCAGGCACGTGGCGGATACACGATATTCTGATGTCAAAGACCTCAGTAGACTTCGAGGGGCCTATACAGACCGCGAGATCCGACACTTTCTCATCACGTGTCATCCCAGGATAGTTTGTTTTCTATGATCGGCTTTTCCACAAAATCAACTGCGTTGACTTTTCTTACGTACAGGGCCTACATATTAACACATTGCCTACATTTTGCAGGTTTGTCTGTAGTCAATTATCCAACCTTCCATCAAACAATCAGGCATTATTGTCCTAGAAGTATAAAAGTTCTGACACTTCTCAGTTGCACATCAGTTAGTTTCAAGATAAAAAATGCAGGTTGTAGGAGAGAAAAGCAAACTGTTTCACTGGCAGCACGTATTGTAATATGGAGCATCTCCAGTAGATAGTGTATCCTGAGGTCAAATGACCTTTTCAACAGTCTCGGCAACAGATCCATTGGTCTCCAATACCCACGATGTTCTGTTATGATATTGGTTTGAAAAGATATTCAAGAAACGGTAACAACTATATTTTTCTAATGTACATTCTGTGTACTGCGACAATCACATATTCCGCATCTTCGGATACTAAGAGGGGGTATGTTTTTACGATGCTTTTAGTAATATTCTAGTAATATCACTGCGGAAGACCCCCGAAATTGGCTTCACACAGTATACCCATGAGTTGAATGGAAGCCGGATCTTTAGCGTGACGAGCCCTCAAATACCGCACCTGTGGCATAACATGTAACTTTTCTCCACAGGAGTCTAACTTCCCGTCTGAAATACAGATTACAAAAGCCGTATATGATCGGATTGGAGACACTATTGATGAAATACGACCTCAGGAACAAACTGTACAGCACTGCCCCAGCTCCTTGAATGCCTGCAAACGTTTCCTTAGAGGCTGTTGTGGCCGCCATTAAACACAGATGAGGAAGAAAGCTCAGTACAAATACAAGGGTGATCAGAAACAACATAAACAGTGTCTTGTGTGACCTCTTGTTGTTTCTTGACGATGAATGTGTACTTAGCGTGCTAGCAACATGGACATCTTCTGGTGGGTCCAAGGCAGTAGAGGTACTTTTCGAGGAACACATTCCTTCATCTGTTTCAGACTCTCCTTGACGAAGGTGTTCGTCAGTTGGTGGGCTCGATTCTGACGCTGCACACGTGTTTTCAGGAGCATCAGACTGGACAGTAAAGGACACAATAGATTTGTGTAACTGCTGCTCTGGGTTCTGCCTGGTTCTGTTCTTGTTGAAGAATGTCCTACGTCTAGCAGCCTGCCTCCATATTAGGCTGTAGAGGACAAGAAGGCATAGTGTAGCAGCCACGAAAATGAAGAACTGAGCACCATTATAGATGCTTGGATATGGCGTCCCTCTGTAGTCGTCTGATATCGAACAATCTGAACCGTTGATGTGGATGTTGTTTGTGGTCACTGTCTTTACACCGTAGATAATAGCAGCCGGTAAGGCGACAATCAAAGACATGACTGAACACACAGCGATTGTGACTTTAGCATCTAACCATGTTGCCTGTCTTTGAAAAGGTCGGCAAATTCTCCTGTACCTGTCCACTGCTACAGCTAGGAGAATGTATCCAGACGCATACGATACAAATGCCATGATTACTCGCATGACCTTGCACAAGCCGTATCGTGCTAATGTGTATCTATATCTCATGTCAGCTATTTCATGAGGTATGCATATGCCACAGTTGATAAGGTCAAATATTGCCAGGGCTATTATATATCTATTGGTGGGGCTTGGTTTGAACTTTGCAATGTACACGTAACAGACAAGCGAGTTCCCCAACAAGCCTAGCACCATCAGAACAGCAAGACACAAGATGACGGGCAGAACCTGGAGGGCGTGACGATCGTCGTAGTCACGAAGGAAAGTCTTAAGGTCGTTCTCGAAACTGGTGTTCTCCATCATATGCAGAGATTGCTGGAACATCTGAATGACCGATGGGAAAACTGTTCGTCTCCTCTGGACATCAATGACGACCTGAAACAGTAAATACAATTAGCTTTGTTCTGATTAACATCTATTTAGGTCATGACCCTCTGAATCCTTAGTAAGAAATGTTGACTGTTCTTGCATGGTGGTCAGCGTGCTTTCATTATGCCATTAGCTCAGAGTCAGCATTTACCATTATGCCATTAGCTTAGAGTCAGCATTTACCATTATGGCATTATCTCAGAGTCAGCATCTACCATTATGCCATTAGCTCAGAGTCAGCATTTACCACTATGGCATTAACTCAGAGTCAGCATTTACCATTATGCCATTAGCTCAGAGTCAGCATCTACCATTATGCCATTAGCTCAGAGTCAGCATTTACCATTATGGCATTAACTCAGAGTCAGCATTTACCATTATGGCATTAACTCAGAGTCAGCATTTACAATTATGGCATTAGCTCAGAGTCAGCACCTACCATTATGCCATTAGCTCAGAGTCAGCATTTACCATTATGGAATTAGCTCAGAGTCAGCATCTACCATTATGCCATTAGCTCAGAGTCAGCATTTACCATTATGCCATTAGCTCAGAGTCAGCATCTACCATTATGCCATTACCTCAGAGTCAGCATTTACCATTATGCCATTAGCTCAGAGTCAGCATTTACCATTATGCCATTAACTCAGAGTCAGCATTTACCATTATGCCATTAGCTCAGAGTCAGCATCTACCATAATGCCATTAGCTCAGAGTCAGCATTTACCATTATGCCATTAGCTCAGACTCAGCATCTACCATTATGCCATTAGCTCAGAGTCAGCATCTACCATTATGCCATTAGCTCAGAGTCAGCATTTACCATTATGGCATTAACTCAGAGTCAGCATTTACGTGGGGACCCAACCAAATACTGGGCCTTACCACTGGAACGATAACTCTCAACCGAGGTGTTCTGTTAGGGATTAAAATCAGTGAACCGTACTAATCCTTAGGACAATGTGGATTAAGGCTATAGTCTGCTTTAGTAATGCAAGTATGCCAGCAAGTCGTCACTGAAGAAACGTCACTTCACTGTAGCTGAAGTGGTTCCACATCAGTCTCTCTCCTCCCTCGACTCAAAACTCGATGATTTCTTCTTGATTTCACTCTAAACTTATAACCATTGAATGCTAAACTGAATGCCATTGTAGAAAGTGGTGAACTAAATTGCCGTTTTATAACCACCTGGCTTATTGCTGAATGAGGAAAGTTCATCTTTACATGATTATATTATCTGGCCTATTGCTGAATGAGGAAACTTCACATTTACAAGAATATATTTACTCGCTCATTGCTGATTGAGGAAAGTTCATATTTAGAAGATTATATTTACTGGCCTATTGCTGAATGAGGAAAGATAATATTACAAGATTATGTTTACTGGCTTATTGCTGATTAAGGAAAGTTCATATTTACAAGATTGCAGTTACTGGCTTATTGCTAAAAAGAGGAAGTTCATATTTAGAAATTATATGTGCTGGCCTATTGCTGAATGAGGAAAGATCATACATACAAGATGATATTTACTGGCTTATTGCTAAATGAGGAAAGATAATATTTACAAGATTATGTTTACTGGCTTATTGCTGATTGAGGAAAGTTCATATTTACAAGATTATATTTACTTGCCTATTGCTGAATTAGGAAAGATCATATTTACAAGATTATGTTTACTGGCATATTGCTGATTGAAGAAAGTTCATCTTTACAATATTATATTTACTAGCCTATTGCTCAATGAGGAAAGTTTATATTTACAAGATTATATTTGCTGGCGGCTCATTGCTGATTGAGCAAAGTTCATATTTCCAAGATTATATTTATTGGCTCATTGCTGATTGAGGAAAGATTATATTTGCAAGATTATATTTACTGGCTCATTGCTGAATGAGGAAAGTTCATATTTAGAAGATTATACTTAATAGCTCATTGCTGAAAGAGGAAAGTTCATATTTACACGTTTGCATTTACTGGCCCATTGTTCAATGAGGAAAGTTCATATTTACAATATTGCATTTACTGGCTTATTTCTAAATGAGGAAAGTTCATATTTACAAGATTATATTTACTGTCTCATTCCTAAATGAGGAAAGTTCATGTTTACAAGATTGTATTTGATGGCCTATTGCTGAATTAGGAAAGTTCATATTTACAAGATTATATTTGCTGGCCTATTGCTAAATTACAAAAGTTCATATTCACAAGATTATATTTACTGGCTTATTGTTGCATGAGGAAGTTCATATTATAGAACATTTTATTTACTGGCCTATTACTGAATGAGGAAAGTTCATGTTTAAAAGATTATATTTAATGGCTCATTGCTGAATGAGGAAAGTTCATGTTCACAAGGTTGTATTTACTGGTTCATTGCTGAATACGGAAAGTTAATACTTACACAATTATATAGTTGCTCCCCTATTGCTGAAAGAGGAAAGTTCCTGTTTACAAGGTTATATTTACTGGCTCATTGCCGATAGAGGAAAGTTCATATTGACAAGATTATATTTACTGGATAATTATTGAATGAGGAAAGTTCATATTTGCAAGGTTGTATTTACTGGCTCATTGTTGAATGAGGAAAGTTCATATTTAGAAGGATATATTTACTGGCCTATAGCTGAATGAGGAAAGTTCATGTTTACAAGATTATATTTACTGGCTTATTGCTAAATGAGGAAGTTCATACTCAGAACATTATATTTACTGGCCTGTTGCTGAATAAGGAAAGTTCATATTTACAAGATTATATTTACTTGCTTATTGCTGAATGAGGAAGTTCATATTTAGAAGGTTTGGTTTACTTGCATATTGCTGAATGAGGACAGTTCAAGTTTAAAAGGTTATATTTAATGGCTCATTGCTGAATGAGGAAAGTTCATATTCACAAGATTATATTTACTGGCTCATTGCAGAATAAGGAAAGTTCATATTTACACAATTACATAGGAGCTGCCCTATTGCTGAATGAGGAAAGTTCATATTTACAAGGTTATATATACTTACTCATTGGTGATTGAGGAAAGTTCAAATTTACAAGATTATTTTTACTGGCTCATTTTACGCCGCTTTTAGCAATATTCCAGCAACATCACGGCGGGGGACCAGAAATGGGCTTCACACGTTGTACCCATGTGGGGATTGAACCTGGGTCTTCGGCGTGACGAGCCAACGCTTTAACAACTAGACTACCCCACCACCCCTATATTTACTAGCCTATTGCTGAATGAGGAAAGTTCATGTTTACAAGGTTATATTTACTTTCTCATTGCTGAATAAGGAAAGTTTATGTTTACAAGATTATATTTACTGGCTTATTGCTGAATGAGGAAAGTTCATATTTACAAGGTTATATTTACTGGCTCATTGCTGAATGTGTAAAGTTCATGTTTACAAGATTATATTTACTGGCTTATTGCTAAATGAGGAAAGTTCATATTTACAAGATTATATTTACTGGCTCATTGCTGAATGAGGAAAGTTCATAGTCACAAGATTATATTTATTGGCTCATTGCTAAATTAAGAAACTTGATATTCACAAGATTATATTTACTTGCTTATTGCTGAATGAGGAAGTTCATATTTAGAAGGTTTGGTTTACTTGCATATTGCTGAATGAGGACAGTTCAAGTTTAAAAGGTTATATTTAATGGCTCATTGCTGAATGAGGAAAGTTCATATTCACAAGATTATATTTACTGGCTCATTGCAGAATAAGGAAAGTTCATATTTACACAATTACATAGGAGCTGCCCTATTGCTGAATGAGGAAAGTTCATATTTACAAGGTTATATATACTTACTCATTGGTGATTGAGGAAAGTTCAAATTTACAAGATTATTTTTACTGGCTCATTTTACGCCGCTTTTAGCAATATTCCAGCAACATCACTGCGGGGGACACCAGAAATGGGCTTCACACGTTGTACCCATGTGGGGATTCGAACCCGGGTCTTCGGCGTGACGAGCCAACGCTTTAACAACTAGACTACCCCACCACCCCTATATTTACTAGCCTATTGCTGAATGAGGAAAGTTCATGTTTACAAGGTTATATTTACTTTCTCATTGCTGAATAAGGAAAGTTTATGTTTACAAGATTATATTTACTGGCTTATTGCTGAATGAGGAAAGTTCATATTTACAAGGTTATATTTACTGGCTCATTGCTGAATGTGTAAAGTTCATGTTTACAAGATTATATTTACTGGCTTATTGCTAAATGAGGAAAGTTCATATTTACAAGATTATATTTACTGGCTCATTGCTGAATGAGGAAAGTTCATATTTACAAGATTATATTTACTTGCTCATTGCTGAATGAGGAAAGTTCATATTTACGAGATTATATTAGTTATGTTTACTGGGTTATTGCTGAATGAGGAAAGTTCATATTTACGAGATTATATTAGTTATGTTTACTGGGTTATTGCTGAATGAGGAAAGTTCATATTTACGAGATTACATTAGTTATGTTTACTGGGTTATTGCTGAATGAGGAAAGTTCATATTTACGAGATTACATTAGTTATGTTTACTGGGTTATTGCTGAATGAGGACAGTTTATATTCACCGTTTTTGATGTCTTTGCAGTTGTCAGTTCAGTCCATCCTTACATCTGGGCACACATTCTCTCTTCATTTCCCCAATGTATTCCGTACTTATTAGAAGGTGCAGGATATTTTCCTGAACTACGTTCAACCATTACAGATGGATGACTACTAGTCTATTAGAGTGTACTTCAAAATGGAGAAGTATTGACAATGAAATGGGTTTTGAACTTCTATCATATCATTATATAACAGACACTGGGTGTGTTTCCTTCCCTGTTGGTCGACTTCCTCATGCAAAGGAATCGGGATTTATAAATATTGTATTCTTAGTCTTGGCGTTCCTCATACTGAAATGCCTGGAATTATAGTGAAAGTGGCATAAAACTTTATTCCAGATCCAAGATGCTTTTGAATGAAAACCTTGGTTGAATACATACATTTCCCTACTTCCTTGTGTCATATGTGACTCGATATTACAAACTAAAGTACTATAGTTGATAGCAGTTGATATTGTAACTGGTTTTGACAAATTCGGTGGAAAACGTTATTCACAAATCCTATGAGCATTTGACACTAAACGCGGTGATTACATTTCAGATATCGCCCGAAACTTAAGCAAACAAGTGATATGATGTACTTTCTCGCAGATAGCATCTTACTGAAAATTGAAGACAAGACATGTAGTCAGTCGGTCTCATGTCTGATGATGCTGGAATGGTTTGTCGCTTTAATCATTGTGCACGTGTGTGTGTGTGTGCACGTGTGTGTCTTTGTGTGTGTGTGTGTGAGCGTGCGTATATACGCCATTTTGTATTAGAAGTTTATATTTCAAGCTTATACAATGCCTATGCCAACATTGTAGTACTCTGTTGTTATTGTGAATGTAAGGTGGTATCCAACTCATTACAACATATGACTAGTAAGGTGAAGTCTACCGTATGATAGGACAGGATTTCAACGATGAGTGTTCACATTCGGTTCCCGTCTCCTAATCAGGACCCCATTTTACGCAGCGATCGTAGCGCAAAGGTGATCGTAACTTCCTACAAAACGTTATGCCCACAAACGACAATGTTGATTACCGCTCCCTGATACACACAAACGTTCCGAATCGCTAATCGCAGTTAAGTCGTTCGAGTTTATGATTAAAATATTGTTCCTAAATGATCATATCTTATCTCTCTGCCCTTGACCACCTTATCACGTTGACATGTAACCATATATATGAGTTCTCAGTCAAACACAAGCAGGTGTTGCACAGTGTACATCTTTTCATTTCACAACACACCCCGCTTGTCCAGTAGATCTGACTGCCCGGGGTCAGAAAGGGCAAGGAGTTCGATGTTCTAGCCACGGCATACCAAAAGACTTTTAAAATATGGTACTTAATTAAGAGGATAAAACAAGGGCAGTTTTGTGAGAGAGTTGTTGGGATGTCATTTCTATCCATGCTACTACCAGCCGCCACACACATACGTGTTACATATGAACCACATTTCACTGTATGTCACATCATAGAAGATTTGGTTGTGCGGAATTGAGTTTTCATATTCCATCCATTTTAAGATGAAGGGATACTAAGACCGCGAAACATTATCGGAAAACCACCTCGGATCAACGATGTAGTGGACAACGACACGTTCTAGCCAGCATAGACTACCCCATCAACTCCACGGTCTGCTTACTGCATGGTGGAAGCGGTTGAAGCGTTTCGAAATTTCGAGTTCGAATCCCACTTGGATCCCGCATTCACTGGAATATTACTCAAATCGGCATAAAAGTAACTGAAGAACATCTACTCGACAGAAGGCCATATCATACATTAATATCTGAATATTTAGTGTATCTTAAGCCGACATTGCGTTCATCAGCTGCAGTCGTTACCTGACCCAAGTCTGCTATCTGTAATATGTCTGGAAATAGACTGAGTAACCCAGTCATGGTTTGATAAATGGGAAACGACATAATAGGTACTACTGTTTGCAGTCATGTTTCGCTATGTGAAGCCACGAGTTCGGACATGTTGTTAATATAAGGGTAATGCTATTTTTGAGGGCATTATCATATGCAGAAGCCCGAGGTCTTCCATTAACTGCCCGACGAAGGAGGGCAGTTGAAAAAGACCGAGGGCTTCTGCAAATAATGCCCTCAAAAATAGCATTACCGATATTATTAACTAAAATACATGGAATTTGTGTTGAAAAGAAAAGGAAACAATGAAGAAATTTGACTGTAGTTTACCCAAATCAACTTCTGACGGAGTTGACTGCCCGAATTCAATTACGTCATCGAACAATTTAAGTGACGTCACAACAGAAAGTGACGATGTTCGACCTTGGACTTTGACAATACCATAGCCTACAACATGCCAAACTATGTCAGTGTTCTGTTTTGGTCCATCAACAGCCTTAATAGTGCAATTGTTAAGGTTAGCACCAACAAGAAAGCCAATATTACCGCTATTTAAAGGGGGAATTCGGGTTGCTTTGACTTGTTTGACCCAGAATATCTGCCAGTCGAAAGCCAATTAATGTCGAATGAACCGTAAGCCCACGCACCCACTATGACATCACTTGACAACAGAACTGATAGTGGCCCGTCGTTAAGGTTGAGCGGTCCAATATCATTTGCAGCGGCCCGCAAATTTCTGATAATGGGAGGGCCGTTTCATGATAATTCCATGTATTTTAGCTATAAGACAAGTAAAATTGATGTATAGCTTGACCACTAGTACATCTAAAATGCACATTGGGTGCACAAGTTGTAATTTCAGGACGTGCCCAAAACGAAATTTCATATTCATCTTTTCTCATGACAGAAACAGATCATCGTGGGTTCGAATACCAAAGTTGGCATCATGACGTTTAAAGGGTTGTCAGCACCACAATCGTGGCTGATTTCACCAAAGTTGTACTCGTCTTAGACCTGCAATACTTAGGGATTTTCTTTGGGGAGGGATAGGATAGCCTAGTGGTCAAAGCGTTTACTCTTCACGCTGAAGACCCAGGCTCTATTCCCCACATGGGTACAACGTGTGAAGCCCATTTCTGGTGTCCCCCGCCGTGATATTGATGAAATATTGCTAAAAGCGGCGTAAAACCTCACTCGCCCACTCACTAACTCACTCCGGGCTTTCCTCCAATATCAAGTCTGAATGATCACTGAATTGCTGTTAACAGGTGCGTCCGACCATACTCACTGACTGTGATATAATATCCACCGGTCAGTGAAAGTGAAGGAACACAACCATATAGCGACATGAGAAGGGAATAGAATAAAACGGCACCGTAGTTTTAGTTAAGAAGTAATAACAAGAAGATATGGAATGCATGTTGAATCAGACCAAAAACAGATGGATGCAAAATACAGAGTACCTGGAGTATCACTGCCTTTGATATCCAGTCATTTGACAAGAGGCAACTTTCCTAATATACATACACACTGATCATTTTCTGTTCCACTGAAATATAGAAGAATAAATACACATAAGATAATGACGGGCGGGGGACAAGCATGATATACTGTTGGCCTATTCCAATGCCCACAGAAAGTCAAGACTGATATACTGAGGACCTATTCTAGATACAAATGTCTACACTGAGTCAAACATCATATGCTGTTCACCTATTCTAGATACAAATGTCTACAAAGAGTTAAGCATGATATACTGAGGACCTATTCTAGATACAAATATCCACAGTGAGACAAGCATGATATACTGTTGGCCTATTCCAGATACAAATGCCCACAGAAAGTCAAGCATGATATACTGGTGACCTATTCTAGATACAAATGTCTACACTGAGTCAAACATCATATGCTGTTCACCTATTCTAGATACAAATGTCTACACAGAGTTAAGCATGATATACTGGTGACCTATTCTAGATACAAATGTCCACAGTGAGACAAGCATGATATACTGGTGACCTATTCTAGATACAAATGTCCGCAGAAAGTCAAGCATGATGTACCAGTGACCTGTTCTAGATACAAATGTCCATAGTGAGACAAGCATGATATGCTGGTGACCTATTCTAGATACAAATATCCACAGTGAGACAAGCATGATATACTGGTGACCTGTTCTAGATACAAATGTCCACAGTGAGACAAGCATGATATACTGAGTACCTATTCTAGATACAAATGTCCACAGTGAGACAAGCATGATATGTTGCTGACCTATTCTTGTTTTATTAAACAGTTGGTAACAGGAGACGGAGTTAGCGTTTCCCGAACAACCTAGCAGCTGCGTGTCATTCTGTACTGTGGGCATTTTAGTCATTGTGTTATGGGTGGAGATTCCTTCTAAAATCCTGAAAAAGGATGCTGTTTCAATGTGTTTGATGCAATCTGTATGTTTCTGACTTGTGGCCACATCGATATGATGCACATACTTCTTGTCCTGGTAGAAAGGTTCCGGTTTGCTTAACGTTATCTAAAATAAGCTTACACATGAAAGCATAGTGATGTCGTTTTATTAGCATAACTTGCGAGTCGTTTCAAATATTCAATATTTTTATCCAAACTTCGAGTATTTTTCTCGTTACTTTCATTATTGTTTCATTATTGAATAGATTTCAATCTATTTTTAAAATATAAATGTTATTATATACTTGGACAAATGACAAAATAATCGAGGTAACAAGGAGAGAGTTCTAGAAAGTAGTTAAATTGAAAAATACAATACAACCAGAAATTATTGAGAATTTAAAGATTGTAATTTTTAATTTTTTCACTCATTACTCACGTATTAAATGTGAATATTAGCAGAACATAACTCCAGATTCAAAGACAGGTGAACAGTTAGTATTTTGTCAAGTCACCATGGGCAGCAACGCAGGCTTCAATGCGGCGGGGCATACTACTGATCAAAGAAGTTAGAAAGTCGTGGTCCATGCTGTCCCAATATCGGACCACCCAAACATTTTCTATTGGATTTAAGTCAGGGCTATAGTTTGGCCAATCTAATAATGTCATATTTTGGGTCCGAAACCAGGCCTGTGAATCCTTTGAACGATGTTTTGGGTCGTTGTCCTGCTGGAAAATCCAAATATTTCCATAGAACACGTGAGCAGATGGAAGTAAATGTCCCTCGAGAATATCTGTGTACCGCTCACTGTTCATATTCCCTTCAAATACACAGAGGGGCGTTGCCCCTAACACAGATATGCCACCCCACACGTTTAATTTCGGACTGTACTTTGGGCGCTGATACAAAGGTTTTTCAGTTTGTTTGGTCCTGAATTTCAGTGTATTAGGAAACAGCCACACAGAACTTTCATCTGAGAAAATCACATTGTCCCAGTTAAAATTTCTATGCTGTAAGCACCAGTTCAACCTTCGCTCCTTTTGTTCAGGTTTCATGATCGGTGATGGAATTCCTCGACTTTTCTGCCAACCCATTGCATGCAGCTCAGTTCAAATTGTCTCCTTACAGACAGCCACAGTTCCACTATCAATCATATCCTGCCTTAGGTTTTCTAAACTCCTTCGTTTGTGTTTAGAAACAAGAATACCAAGCCGCCTCCTGTCACCGACAGTCAATTTTCTGGGCCCACCTGCGCCTCCCTGGTGCTCAATGCCATATCCATTTGCAATATTTTTCAAAACACGATAAACAGTGGACAAAGGGATGCCTGTTCTACTTGAAATCACTTTAGCTGATCTGATGTCCTTGTTATAATATACTGAGTCAAAAAAAGAAACTTCACAAAATGTAATTTGAAAAATAATGAATATTTTTTCTCTGATGATACATCTATGTATCCGAAATGGGATCCCTATCTTTCGACTCTAGAAAAACGTTAGCAAAACCCACTCAAACCCATCCATTCGTCGTGCAAATGACGTAAGTGCCAAATCAGGTTTTGCACGTGCAGTCGATCACGTGATCTTCGCATCGAAGTTTTCTTCATATGCACGTGTTTGCATTGGCCTCAAGAATTGAAAAAACACTTTTAAACCACAGTTCTAACGGTACTTGAAATGCCACGATTGTCAATTGTGCAACGTGAACGTGCCGTTGGCATGTTGCAAGCGGGGAAGATCAGTTATTGACGTCGCAAGAGCAATGGGATGCAGCCGTCGTACTGTGTATGACTTGCGAGGTCGTCTACAACAAACTGGCACCACTTCTGATCGCCCAAGGTCGGGTCGTCCACGTGTGATGTCAAGAGCAGAAGACCGTCAAATCGTCCTATGTCACCTACGTGACAGATTTCTGCCGGCTACACGAACCAGGGCTGAGATGTTTAGAGGTCGACTGTCCTCACAGACCATTCGAAATCGGTTGCGGGCTGCCAATCTCCATTCTCGACGTCATCAACGTCAACGTCTGCTGTGGGCCCAACGTCACCTCCGATTGACCCAGAGAGACTGGAATCGAGTCGTCTTTAGCGATGAATCCAGGTTTACCCTCAGATTCGCGGACGGCAGGCATAGAGTCTGGAGACGACGTCGTGAACGGTATGCCCAATGTTGTGTACAGGAAGTCGACAGATTCGTTGGCGGAAGTTGCATAGTGTGGGGTGCTTTCTGTGGGAACAACCGTTCCCGACTTCTGGTCATCCGTGGAAACCTCACAGCTGCTGCTTACCGCGACCAGGTGCTCACCCCTGAACTCGTTCCTTTCATGACGGCTCATGGCCCAGGTCTACAGTTCCAGCATGATAATGCTCGGCCGCATACCGCGATGTTGACACGAAATTTCCTTCAAAACGCTGGAATCAACATCATGGACTGGCCATCGAGGTCCCCTGACCTTAATCCAATAGAGCACGTTTGGGATGCACTTGGGAGAAGGCTTCGTGGTCTTAGGAACCAACCTCAGAATTTGCAGGAACTTGGCGCTGCCTTGCAAGAGCAATGGCGCAGAATCCCCAACCACGTGTTCACAAGCATCAGGCAGTTAATGAGGAGACGGTGTTTGGCAGTGGAGACTGCGCTGGGCGGCTATACACGATATTGAACTGAGAAATTTCGCATATTTATTCTTGTGACTTGACATTCTGTATACCCATGTTTTGGAACGGCGGTGTAGCCTAATGGAACTGATTATGGCACTGTCAGTGTATCGAGTACATCACACAGATCTCAGCAATGAAATAATAACAATTTAACCATCTTACCATCTCTTGTTCTTTTATAGTGCCCTGAAGAAAGAATGTGAAGTTTCTTTTTTGACTCAGTATACTTATAAACTGTATATACTGTTATAATAATTGTTATAAGCAAGTAAACAAAGGGGGATAACTCTTCACAAAAACTAATGAAAAAGGATTAACGGAGCTGTCTCTTAAATGAAACCAAGCACTTGATAGCTGGTCAAGGTTGTTTATACTAGAAATCCAATTAAACATATTCCTAAAATTCTCAATAATTTCTGGTCCTACTATATGTGAAGAGAAATAATCTAAATTTCGAGTTTTAAAATAAACTTTAATAACGAGAATACAATCGAGTAGCAAGAAAATAAACGAAATTTTGAAAAGTACATTCTTAAACGAAAGGAAAATCATAGAATAAAATTGGAAAATGTCGCGTTTTTTAACAAACAAAAAATACCCACCCGCCCTCAAGTAAAGAGGGACAGCAGGATGTTCAAGCATTACCTAATTAGGGGGTTCAGAGAAGGTGGTGATCTTCACTTCCTTGTTGGCGTTTTGCCACGTCTGGATGAACCTTCGAATTCCGTTCACCCACACAGTAGCAGCAGGAGACGCCCGGGGGTCCTTTATCACGAACGTCATCACCAGCTGGGTGGAGTTCTGATAGTTGCTGCCTGAAAGATCAGGAAATACTGGCTGATAAGGCAAAATGTATCAATTCATTTATAGTAGTACTTGAATTCGCAGTTCGCTGTGCAAAGCTCTAGTTCCAGGGTCATTGGTTCGAGTTCCATATCAGTTTGACTATTATCCTTGGTTAATCTGTGCCAGTTACGTGCTACCTGAAATTTGGTAACTTCAATGACCCGCGTGTCTTTTGGCTTTCTTCCAACTCCATAATTTGTTGGAATAATGTTTTCCTCAAACGCCTTAGTTGAACAGAGTGAGACCAGGTTTTTATTCACGTTTATTTATTATACAAAACTCGATTATAATTATTGTTGACTTTAACTGTATATTTTGGGTACAGACGCATCTGTGGACATCGACACATTTCGCTGAGACAACTCACATTTGCATAAAAGTTACGTTACTTCATGTTGTAATGTTGCTGTGTAAACGTGAGACATGACGTCTATTTTACCTATAGAAATAGGTCGTGATATGAGGACTGGAAGGTTGTGAATAGTGAACCCTGTATATTCTGAACATTACATTTTAATGAAATGGTAATCAAGACCTACTTAAGAACACCAACCCCCCAAAAAACCCCCCAAAACCCCCCAAAAACCCAAAAATTCAAAACCCAACAAAACAACCCCCCATCCCCAAAACAAAACAAAAACAAAACAAAACGAAACAAAACAAAACAAAAACAACAAAGAAACCAAAAACCAAAAACCAAAACAAAAACAAAAAGAAAAAACCCAAAAACCCCAAAAATCAAAACAACAAAAAACAAAAACAAAGCGAAAAAACCATTACAAACAAAACAAAACAACAAAAACTGTAGATTACTCTGTGGATAATGTTCAATCTATATGCATAAAATGTACGCTCCTGTGTGGTTTTCAATCCACCACGCTACTTATCTGATTCCTTACCAGTCAAACCGTGTGTATAGTCTCTAAAAGACAAGAAGGATATAGTCACTCTCCACCTACCGTCATATCCACAAAATATCTGGGAGGGTTCGACCACTCCACCGTAGTCCGACACACAGGACAGGTTCAGCGGAAGGTCCAAGGTTGTCTGGGGGTTCCTGGAACGATACGGGTGAATTAGATTTAGTATAGTAAAGTTACGCATCTTTCTTCATGAACTAATACCATTACATTCTACCCACGGATGGATGGATGGATGGACGGACGGGCAGGCGCCTGTACGAACGGACGAACGGAAGGAAGGATGGATGGATGAATGGATGATATACAATCATTATGACGCCCACCCGGCAACTTACCAAACCAAGCATTCAATCAATTCAGTTCAATCAGTTCAACCAGTTCAAGCTGACATTAACCTGAAGCACAGGAGGAGGTGATCCAGGTAGTCAGCCTTAATGAAAAATCCAGAAGGGTCCATCACTTTCTTGTCCACGTTTCGGTTGCTGTTTTGAAAGTATTGTAGGACGCTAGGGACAGTACAGTGTTTGGTGACGTTGTCGTGTAGACATATGTTGTCCAGGGTAACACTGCTGGAGGCCATGGTGAAACTCCAAGTTTGTATTTTAGTCTGCAAATCGAGTATCTGTAAAATGAACAGGACCGTGAATGACACACCAAACTTTGACAATCATAATGGACAAACATGACAACACGTGGACAATAAGCTATGGATATGACAGACATGACGACACATGGACAATAACCTATGGATATGACAGACATATCGACACATGGACAATAAGCTATGGATATGACAGACACGACGACATACGGACATTAAGCTATAGATTTGACAGACATAACGATACATGGACAATAAGCTATAGATATGACAGACATGACGACACATGGACAATAAGCTATGGATATGACAGACATATCGATAAATAGACAATAAGCTATGGATATGACAGACACGACGACATACGGACATTAAGCTATAGATTTGACAGACATAACGATACATGGACAATAAGCTATAGATATGACAGACATGACACATGGACAATAAGCTATGGATATGACAGACATGACGACACAGGAACAATAAGCTATGGATATGACAGACATGACGACACATGGACAAGAAGCTATGGATATGACAGACATATCGATAAATAGACAATAAGCTATGGATATGATAGACACGACGACATACGGACATTAAGCTATAGATTTGACAGACATAACGATACATGGACAATAAGCTATGGATATGACACACATGACACATGGACAATAAGCTATGGATATGACAGACATGACGACACAGGAACAATAAGCTATGGATATGACAGACATGACGACACATGGACAAGAAGCTATGGATATGACAGACATATCGATAAATAGACAATAAGCTATGGATATGACAGACACGACGACATACGGACATTAAGCTATAGATTTGACAGACATAACGATACATGGACAATAAGCTATAGATATGACAGACATGACGACACATGGACAATAAGCTATGGATATGACACACATGACACATGGACAATAAGCTATGGATATGACAGACATGACGACACATGAACAATAAGCTATGGATATGACAGACATGACGACACATGGACAATAAGCTATGGATATGACAGACATGACGACACATGGACAATAAGCAATGGATATGACAGACATGACGACACATGGACCATAAGCTATGGATATGACAGACATGACGACACATGGACAATAAGCTATGGATATGACAGACATGACGACACATGGACAATAAGCTTGGGATATGACAGACATATCGATAAATAGACAATAAGCTATGGATATGATAGACACGACGACATACGGACATTAAGCTATAGATTTGACAGACATAACGATACATGGACAATAAGCTATAGATATGACAGACATGACGACACATGGACAATAAGCTATGGATATGACACACATGACACATGGACAATAAGCTATGGATATGACAGACATGACGACACAGGAACAATAAGCTATGGATATGACAGACATGACGACACATGGACAAGAAGCTATGGATATGACAGACATAACGACACATGGACAATAAGCAATGGATATGACAGACATGACGACACATGGACCATAAGCTATGGATATGACAGACATGACGACACATGGACAATAAGCAATGGATATGACAGACATGACGACACATGGACAATAAGCTTGGGATATGACAGACATGACGACACATGGACAATAAGCTATGGATATGACAGACATGACGACACATGGACAGTAAGCTATGGATATGACAGACATGACGACACATGGACAATAAGCTATGGATATGACAGACATGACGACACATGGACAATAAGCTATGGATATGACAGACATGACGACACATGGACAATAAGCTATGGATATGACAGACATGACGATATACGGACAATAAGCTATGGATATGACAGACATGACGACACACCCACAATCACCTATGGAAACAATGACACTGGGACAGTCAGCTGTAGTCTGGACACGTGTGCAATCAACAGTGGACATATCAAAAGTCTGTTCAAAGTCAAGTGATATTTATCATTAAAAAAAACAGCACCTGACTAAATTTGAACCTTTGAAACTCTCGTTACACATTTGGCCCAACAAAACTGATTAGGAGTATCCAACTGACCTGATGCAGGGAGGCTTTCTCGAAGACTGCTTGGAACATGATGCTCTGCAGACTTGGGGGAGGGTAGAAATCCTGTATCCTTGAGTGGTTGCCCAGTCTCTGGATCAACAGGTGCAGACTCGCATACCCCGGGCTGCAGTTATAAGGGCAAAACGTCAGAACGTTTACGATAATGGGATGGAATGGCGATTGGTTGGATGAACTCTATGATTATTCTTCCGAGAAGAGCAGGAGGTACGGTACTTCACTGTAGGGGTGTGTTTGCGGCTGAATATGGCTTGTCCTTCCGTCTCCATTTCCATACATTTTCTCTATTTCTCCCCTATATCTGACTCTCCTTTCTCTGTCCTTCAATGTGCCGTCAATGTGCTATCCCGGTCTTGTTTCTACCGATCCCTAACCTCGTTCACCACCTCACCCTTTCCTGTTAACCCCTCTATCCATGCCCTCTTCTACTATGCCTCTCCGTATCCCTCTTGCCTTTCCCTCTCCCCGTCTCTTCTTACCCTACCCTTTCCCCAACCAATCTTGTCTTTCCCCTCGTAATGTCCCTGTCTCTTCTTGCCCTACCCCTCTCCCCGTCCAATCTTGTCTTTCCCCTCGTAATCTCCCCGTCTCTTCTTGCCCTACCACTTTCCCTGTCGAACCTTGCCCTACCTATTTTCCCATCCACTCTTGTCCTTCTCCTCTCCACGTCCAGTCTTGTCCTTCCCCTCTCCCCGTCCAGTCTTGTACTTTCCCTCTCCCCGTCCAGTCTTGTCCTTCCCCCTCCACGTTCAGTCTTGTACTTTCCCTTTCCCCGTCAAGTCTTGTCCTTCCCCCCCCGTCCAGTCTTGTCCTTCCTCTCTCCCCATCCTGTCTTGTCCTTCCCCTCTCCCCGTCCAGTCATGTCCTTCAACTCTACCCGTCCAGTCTTGTTCTTCCCCTCTCCCCATCAAATCTTGTCCTTCCCCTCACCCCATCCAGTCTTGTCCTTCCCCTCTCCCCGTCCAGTCTTGTCCTTCCCCTCTCCCCGTCCAGTCTTGTCCTTCCACTCTCCCCGGTCAGTCTTCTCCTTCACCTCGCCCCGTCAAGTCTTGTCCTTCACCTCGCCCAGTCAAGTCTTGTCCTTCCCTCCCCGTCCAGTCTTATCCTTCCCCTCTCCACGTCCAGTCTTTTCCTTCCCCTCTCCCCGTCCAGTCTTATCCTTCCCCTCTCCCCGTCAAGTCTTGTCCTTCCACTCTCCCCGGTCAGTCTTCTCCTTCACCTCGCCCCGTCAAGTCTTGTCCGTCACCTCGCCCCGTCAAGTCTTGTCCTTCCCCTCTCCCCGTCCAGTCTTATCCTTCCCCTCTCCACGTCCAGTCTTTTCCTTCCCCTCTCCCTGTCCAGTCTTGTCCTTCCCCTCTCCCCGTCCAGTCTTGTCCTTCCACTCTCCCCGGTCAGTCTCCTCCTTCACCTCGCCCCATCAAGTCTTGTCCTTCACCTCGCCCCGACAAGTCTTGTCCTTCCCCTCTCCCCGTCCAGTCTTATCCTTCCCCTCTCCACGTCCAGTCTTTTCCTTCCCCTCTCCCCGTCCAGTCTTGTACTTTCCCTCTCCCCGTCCAGTCTTGTACTTTCCCTCTCCCTGTCCAGTCTTTTCCTTCCCCTCTCCCCGTCCAGTCTTGTCCTTCCACTTTCCCCGGTCAGTCTTCTCCTTCACCTCGCCCCGTCAAGTCTTGTCCTTCCCCTCTCCCCGTCCAGTCTAGTCCTTCCCCTCTCCACGTCCAGTCTTTTCCTTCCCCTCTCCCCGTCCAGTCTTGTCCTTCCCCTCTCCACGTCCAGTCTTCTCCTTCACCTCGCCCAGTCAAGTCTTGTCCTTCCCCTCTCCCCGTCCAGTCTTCTCCTTCACCTCGCCCAGTCAAGTCTTGTCCTTCCCCTCTCCCCGTCCAGTCTAGTCCTTCCCCTCTCCACGTCCAGTCTTTTCCTTCCCCTCTCCCCGTCCAGTCTTGTCCTTCCCCTCTCCCCGTCCAGTCTGATCCTTCCCCTCTTCACGTCCAGTCTTTTCCTTCCCCTCTCCCCGTCCAGTCTTGTACTTTCCCTCTCCCCGTAAAGTCTTGTCCTTCCCCTCTCCACGTCCAGTCTTCTCCTTTCCTCGCCTCAGTCAAGTCCAGTCTTGTCCTTCCCCTCTCCCGCCCAGTCTTTTCCTTCACCTCGCCCAGTCAAGTCTTGTCCTTCCCTCCCCGTCCAGTCCAGTCCTTCCCTCTCACGTCCAGTCTTTTCCTTCCCCTCCCCCCGTCCAGTCCTATCCTTCCTCACCTCTCCTGTCAGTCTTTTCCTTCCCCTCTCCCCTGTCCAGTCTTGTCCTTCCCCTCTCCCCGTCCAGTCTGATCCTTCCCCTCTTCACGTCCAGTCTTTTCCTTCCCCTCTCCCAGTCCAGTCTTGTACTTTCCCTCTCCCCGTAAAGTCTTGTACTTTCCCTCTCCCCGTCCAGTCTTTTCCTTCCCCTCTTCCCGTCCAGTCTTGTCCTTCCACTTTCCCCGGTCAGTCTTCTCCTTCACCTCGCCCCGTCAAGTCTTGTCCTTCCCCTCTCCCCGTCCAGTCTAGTCCTTCCCCTCTCCACGTCCAGTCTTTTCCTTCCCCTCTCCCCGTCCAGTCTGATCCTTCACCTCTCCCCGTCCAGTCTTGTCCTTCTTCTCTCCCCGTCCAGTTTTCTCCTTCACCTCGCCCAGTCAAGTCTTGTCCTTCCCCTCTCCCCGTCCAGTCTTGTCCTTCCCCTCTCCCTGTCCAGTCTTGACCTTCCCCTCTCCCCGTCCAGTCTTGACCTTCCCCTCTTCCCGTCCTGACTTATCCTTCCCCTCTCCACGTCCAGTCTTGTCCTTCTCCTCTCCCCGTCCTGACTTATCCTTCCCCTCGCCCAGTCAAGTCTTGTCCTTCCCCTCTCCCCGTCCAGTCTTCTCCTTCCCCTCTCCACGTCCAGTCTTCTCCTTCCCCTCTCCCAGTCCAGTCTTGTCCTTCCCCTCTCCCCGTCCAGCATTGTCCTTCCCCTCTGCCCGTCCATTCTTATCCTTCCCCTCTCCCCGTCCAGTATTGTCCTTCCCCTCTCACCGTCCAGTCTTGTCCTTCCCCTCTCCTCATTCAGTCTTGACTTACTTATTTCCCCTACCCGTATTCCCTACCCATCTTCCGTCCCCTCTTACCCTGCCTTTCTCCGAAACCCAATTTTGCCCTACGTCTCTCTCGTTCCCGTCTCCCCGTACCCTCTTGTTCTACCCCTCTCCCTGTCACGCTTGCTGTCTCCCCGAGGCTCTATTAATAATGGCATTTAATCTTTATCGACGAAACTTACGCTTTTTGAATACCACCCTTTTGGCTCTTTGTACAGGGATTCGGGGCAACGGTTGTGGTGGGAGATGGAACAGCCCCGCAGTCACGACAGGAACATCTGCTTCTTTTGCCCACAGGGGAGGAACATGGAATAGTTGTTGCGTTCATAGGGTACAAGGTAACTCCGCTCGGCAACGCGTCTGGAGATTCAGTTACATCGAACTTGATCGAGAAAGCTGATTGACCATTTCGTACGTTGCCGAGATAATAAAGTAGCCTTTTTGGGGAGCATTCATCTGCGGGCCAACCACACGAAAAACCAAGGGCGTTACCACCGGGAGATGGCATAGTGACGTCCTTGCACGATTTGTACATGCCGTCGGCGAAGGTCGTAGTGACGTCGTATTTTATGGCCGTGACCGACTGGGAGGAAGTACTGGTGACGGTGACAAAGTCGCTCTGTTTGGGACTACACACCATGTTGCAGAAGACGTTCCTGAAGTTGTAGTTGCATGCTGGACAGTTTCCCAGGATCTGATCCGGCACTGTCAGCATGGACTGGAGCCAAGACAGCTGATGAGCGTCACAGCACGTGCTTGTGTCTGAAAAACAGGAAAGATTGTTTGACAGATAATGACTAAGAAGAGGGGTACGTTGTGAAAAACAGAATAACAAAGACACATCACGTCAAATTAAAATACAAGACGAATACTGACCATGAGAAAAGTCCGGACACCTTTCTTCTAAAACACGCCTTGCAGTGGGGTCAGTGAGGGGTTTGGGGGGTCCGGTGTATGCACAGGGAACGGGCTTCCCAGTGTTTGGGTTCACCCCACACATGCCATACATCACACACTGACCATGTCCCGCGGGTGTTGCCTGAGAAAAATAAAACCAGAGTGAGCGAATGGTTTAGGTTTTACGTCGCCGTAGCAAAATACCGACAACACTGCGTCGGGGTTATAAAATATTGAAACAATTTTATAGTTGATAATAATAATAATAGTTATTTGGTGGGGTGAAACAACCTATAAATGGTGTGAAACTGTATAGGGTGAAACAACCGCGGTGAAACAGTCTGGTGTGAAACTGTGCTGGGGTGAACGTGTTTGGGTTCACTGCTACTCTACTTTGCCAATCCGAGCAGAGATTCTGATCCATATCCATGAAATATAGAACGTCTTGACTATCCTCAGAAAACATTCCTTTTCAGTAAAGAGAAGAATAGCTGTGAACATTATATGAACGGATCACTTAAAGTCAGTGGTGACACGCGAAACAGATTAACAAGACAGAGCACGAGTGGTGCCATGGGAATGCCTACTGCAAAATGTCTTATCCCAAAATGTTACATAGATGTTATGAGTGAGGAAGCTCAGGATTATTTACTGGTTAAGCTTCAGATAGCGTTTGTTTTCATTTTCGACAATTTGGGCTAACATCTAAAAACATATAAACATGTCTATCGTCACCACGTTTTGTAACCAAAAAAACATGGATCGAGGTGTTAAGTTTTTTCTAACGTTTGTCATTAGATTAGTGGGGTATAAAGTTGAAAAATAATTTTTGACAGATTTGAAACTGTTTCTTTTCTGTTATTGTAAAAAAACGTCAAGCACAACGTTCTGAGAATCCACTTGGGGATAATTCGACTTGTTTTCCATGTCTGCATTAAAGTTAGTTTATCTTTGAGATAGGAATTTGGAGCTTTTGAATCCAGTACAAAAGGTGAGTTGATATATCTTCAGATTAAAGTCGAACCAAAGGTTGATAGTACTACCGCATGGTTTAGGCGCATTTCTTCTACAGTTATAGTACGGGCTTTGTGTTTTCCAGTATTTGACATGACACGATGTTCTTTAAAACATGCTGTTATAGTAGGTGATGCTCACACAGATATGGAAGCGTAGAAGGGGCATTGTCGCATTGTCACCCTCACAAAAACAAGTAAAATTCCATGTAACATCATTAAAAAAATGATTATGACATTATTTAATTTTCTTTTATTCCCCGTTCATACTTTAAAAGAAACTATTTACTGTATTATTACATAAACACTGTGCAAAAATGACCAGGCTTGCCGATATTTAGATACAACTTACTATATTTTTACACATATTAGCATAATTATTAAACTATAAAATCAAACTCCAATACCATTCACATCATATATTTTCTGGTTCTATTTGTGGGCATACACATATATTGTTAAAAGGAATAATTAGCTATATTTTAAAATATCATTAGATATTGCAAGAAAGTCATATTTCAAGTTGAGCAGTAACCATTTCTGGGAATGAATGAATCAATATGAATAAAAAAGGAATGAAAAACACCTGACACCTAAATTCAGCATCCACAACCAGGAACATTAATTGGTCGCTCACTTATTTATTTTAAGCTAGTAGAGTAATTACAGTAAAGCGCATGAAAATGAATTCTATTTCGTTTCAGTTTCACGTTTCTACATTTTTGGCGCTGATATATTAATGGCGGGCATCGACTATGGAGCGCTGCCATTGGCATTTTTTTGCAATCAGTAGTTAAAATAAAGGACACGAGTTGTGAAGCTGATTTTGATCTTAATAATTGTTTGTCGATTAAATACATAGTTGAAAGTAAGACGTATAATTCTCCATATTAGTTATCCCAGTTCTGGTCGCAACAGGCGTGATCGATGACGCGTTCGGTTGTTACAAATAAGGAACGCGTTTATAATGAAACCTGATTTCGGTATCGGTTTGTTGATCAGGTTTGCTATGGCTTAATCCAAACCTAGGTAAGTTAGTTTGTAAACGATTTGGATGATGAATTTCATGTTCTCCACTTTTGCCCTAAATACTTTACGCATAGACAACGGTATCTGGAAGATTTATATTACAGAAAAACTAGTATGTATACATTCTCCTCACAAGATCAAAGACAAGCTGTTGTATTTAATCTGTCTATATGCATTTTTATGAAAGGGTGAAATAGTTACATCTTTCACTGTCCATGAATATTAAGGGTTTGTTTATTTAATATGTATGCCACCAAGGTCGGGGTTCCAACTGGTTGGGTTGGGATGGGAACTAGGTGGGGGTCAACTTGTATTCATATCTCTGCACCATGTAGCCCATTTCTGGTGCCCCCCGCCGTGGTGTATGATAGTGGTACTTGTATTTGATGTAATATGCACACATGTATTATTTATATGATAGTCACTATCGATGACGACACATGCTTCACTTAATTTTGTAATATATGTTGTATGGGAGCGGTGTTGATATAAGCTGTAAAGCTTGTTCACCAACCCCAATTCATTTTTTTATGAAAAACAATATGTTTAAACCGTGATATTGCTGGAATTTTGCTAAAAGCGGCGTAAAACTAAACTCACTCACTCACTCAACCATGTACATCGCGTATGTGCTGAGGGTAGCTACAAAATGCAAATTTGGTGGAGTTGCCCAAGAAAGTTTGTCGGATTGTCCCATGGGGTATTCCAAATGTCCCAATTTATTTAAAATGCTTAAATATATGCCATTAATGCATATAGTTTGTTTTGTCAACTTTGATATTATATTCTTCATATACAAGTTATTAGGATGTAATATTCTGATTAATATTCCATTACTAAACTCATAAGAGTTATAGGAATATTCCTGAATAGAAAACACTGTAATGACAATTATTTTGCATGTTATAACTTTTATATGAAGAATATAATATCAAAGTTACCAAAACAAACACTATGCATCTATGTTTAACATATTTTAAAATTTTAAATAGATTGGAACATTTTGAATATCTCCTGGGGCAATTTGACCAAATTTGTTGGGGCATTTTGTAGCTATAGGTCAATTCGACTGGTATACCCTCTGCTGTGATATTATGTTTTTGTATTCTATCTGGATTTGGTAGATTTGTACTTTGATCCATTGCATAATGGAAAACGGGCTATGTGGTTGGTACTTGATATGGTTTAAACATATTTTATTCTATTCAAGAAGAAAGAAAAGGATTGGCAAACAAGCCTTAATGGCTTATATTAATGCCGCTCCATAATACATGTGAAGGTTCACATTTGTGCATAATGTTGTACATATTTATAGTGGTTATATCAAGTTATCTCTGAATAATAACAATCATGGATATCAACAATTTATCTTGCTTTTGTTTCGTGGCCAGTTGATACAAATAAAAAATAAGAGAAGCTACAAAACTTTATGAATCAAAACGTTTTGATGTAATAATGAATTGATGGACTGACCGTAGAATATCCATATTCGTCTGATGTGATACTGAGTTATTGCCATTTAGCACATCCCGCAGGGAGAAACCTTTCACATAGAAATACGATTCGTATCGAATGGTATTATATTTAGGACACATGAAAAAATAGAGGAATATATCCTCATAATCTTGTGAGCAGGAACAAGAAGCATTACCAGAAATGAAACGATTATACTTATCACTGTTTAAGTCACTGCATCCCAATCTAAGGCGGCAGTGTATTATTTGACAAAATCGACTACCAAAATTTAGATCGAACATTGTGTTGGTATTAACTTGTGGTGTGATTGAATTTTTAAACTGTCCAACAGAGGAAGCGTTTGTAGCATTTGTAGGTAGGTCATTCCAGAGTATAATTGTATCGTGCAAAAACGATTTGGCATAATTAGTAGATTTGCATCTTATAGTCTGATAATTTTCATTATTCCTAAGATTGTAGTTACTGTTATCAGAAACATTCCCTGGAGCAAGATCACAAAGATAGTCAGGAACCATACGGTTTACCATTTTGTAAAATAATGTTAATTTAGAAGTTTCTCTCCGTTTCGATAAGGAAGTCAGGTTTGTCTCATGATATAGTTTCGCATGGCTCGTACCTCTAACTGCACCACATAGTGTGCGTAAGGCATCTAAGTGAAGGTTTTCTAGTGACAAGGACTGTTCGTTTGTACAATTGTCCCAGACATGACAGCAATATAGTCAAATAGAGGTAAGATAAAGGATTTATACATTGTTTCGTGAGTTTTGCGTGATAGTCTATATTTAAAACTACGAAGGCAAATAATCATAGGGCAAATTTTCCTTATCATTTCATTAATGTGGGAATGCCAAAGGAGGTTTTCCTGAAAAATAATGCCTAAGTGTTTATGAATGTGCACTTCATTTATAGGGGTACCATATTCATCGAGAGGGAGGTTTCATTACAAGGTTTCGTTTTGTGTGAAAAATGGATAGTTTCAGTTTTGTTTGGATTAAATTTTACTTGCCAGGTTTCCGCCCATTTAGATATTCTGTCTAAATCTGAGTTAAGAATAAATGCACTCGTATGGGGATCGTCGATTATTACATAGAGTGATGTGTTGTCTGCGAAAAGGCGTATATTACTTTCGATTCCATCAACTATGTCGTTTATGTATATTAAGAATAAAAGAGGTCCAAGGACTGATCCTCTGGGCACTCCGGCTATTATCGGTTTTAATTCTGATTTGTAACCTTGGATAACTACTCTTTGCATTCTATTTTGCAAATAACTTGCAAACCATTTCAATAAGTTCCCAACTATCCGACATGATTTTAGTTTATGGATAATCCCTTTGTGCCAAACTTTATCAAATGCCTTGCTTATATCGCAGAATACAGCTCTTACTTCTTTTCCGTTGTCTATAGCTTTAGCAATAAAATTATACAAATGCGTGAGTTGGTAAGCTGTTGAATCTCCTGGCATGAATCCAGATTGTAAATTTGAGAGGCAATTGTTATCTCTCATGAAGTTAAAGACATATTTAAATATACCTTTTTCAAAGACCTTGGATAAACAAGATGTTAAGGCAACGGGTCTATAGTTCGAACAGTCGATAATATTACCTTTCTTGTGGATTGGTATGACTGATGATTCTTTCCATATGTCTGGGAAAACTGATGTTTGAAGTGACTTGTTGAAGAGGTTAGTTAATGCTAGTGACAAGGAGGGCGATACCAAACGTAGGAAGCGGTTTCCAATACCATCTGGTCCACTCGCTTTGGTAAAGTTTAACGAGGATAGAACATCTTCAACATCCTGCTTTGTAAGACATAAATTCCTCATATATTTACTGTTATTGTTTAATGTCATATTTGGAAGATCCTTATTAGATTCAGCGATTATTGCCTGGTCAATAAAGTAATTATTTAAAACGTTTGCTATTGATTCTGGTTCTTGATAGACTTCGTTATTGTGGGTAATAGGAGGAAAGGAGGTACTTTTAGATTTTTTGTTCATATAGTTTTTAACTAAACGCCACCATAGTTTAGTGCTATGATTATTGTTTATTTGAGTGTCTAATTTTGTTGTATAATCTTTCTTGACTTTTCTACTTGATATGACATATAGAGAAGCCTATGCCATCTAAAAGTCCTCGTCTCGTAGGTATGTGCACAGTAAACACGCGTATATTAGAATATCATTTTAAATCAAATTAAACACACAAATCCATCCATGCATGTGACGACGTGTTTTGGATGAGTAGAATTTGTGTGACCTGGATCAGGCGAGGTTATTGCATTACTGACAGCAAGAGTTAACTAGATTCCACCTGAGTTAACTAGATCCCCTTGAATCGCTTTTTAGGGGAAGGGTTGCGTTCTTTATTTCGTAGTTATAATGTTATTTTTGTGTGTGTGTAAAATCAAGGAACTTATGCATGAATAAGTAATCTATCAGAGTGGATTATGTGGCAAAAATGATGATATTTTGTAATGGTGCGTACAGGGAAATCTCTCAGTGAATTCACCTTTGATAAGATTAATGAGAAATTAATGGATGTTGGGTTATGTCTATGAGCTGCGCGAGTGGTCCACTAACCCGATGCACCAAAACATCGCAGTAGGAATTGCATACCTTACCTGTGCCAGGATTCTATGATAGATGGATTATATCCCAGATTATCCCTGGGTGTGGGTTCTCCAAGTGGAAGGCAACAGAAAAGCATACGCCAGTTTGGGGTTGCCTCGATACCTGATGTAATTAATGCTGAAACACTTCCAAGCTCACTAACTCACTAACTCACTCACGCCTCTCTCTCTCTCTCTCTCTCTCTCTCTCTCTCTCTCTCTCTCTCTCTCTCTCTCTCTCTCTCTCTCTCTCTCTCTCTCTCTCTCTCTCTCTCTCTCTCTCTCTCTCTCTCTCTCTCTCTCTCTCTCTCTCTCTCTCTCTCTCTCTCTCTCTCTCTCTCTCTCTCTCTCTCTCTCTCTCTCTCTCTCTTCCTTCGTACCCCCAATATACATTGATCAATGGCAAATCAACAAATTTTATTTTTATTAAGAGGACTAGATTTACAAGCAGAAAAGGCAACCTATTACACAAATCAACGTTTTTACCAACAGTACTCGAAATACGCAACTGGGCTGCTTCTTGTCCCTTCTTCAGGTGATTAACGACAGATATAGAAAACAAATTATATATACCAGATTTACAGGAAGCCAGACAGACAGACAGGCAGATTGTTTATTATATGTCTAAACTCATTTACAGATATTAAAACAATATAAAATAGAAACATAAGATGAGCCATCCTTAAAAGGATTATGAGAGACTATTTACACATAAAATTATACAGAATATAAATATAATGATATATGATATAATAAAATTTACATATGTTGACAGGCTAATGGTAAAGTTGGCGGCGTCGTTCCTTTAAATCATCAAAGCAGGTCTTGGCTGTTAATTTACTTAAACAAGGACTAGACATTATAAACAAACACTTTTCCACATCTGTAAAATTTATAAAGTTACTGTCTAGAAATTGGCACTTATCCAGCAAACATTTTGTGATAGACTGATATAAAGGACATAATAAAAGTACATGTATTTCATCTTCAACACGGTCAAACAATTAAAACACATCCTCTCATCCACAGGCATATTATTAAAACGTCCAGTTTCTATTAGTAAGGGGGCAACTCTGCATTTGAACATAGCTAACGCTCTTCTGTGTCCTCGTGGTATGTGTTCTGTAGCATAATGCTCTGCTCCATAGTCTTTGTTAAAGGCTCTGTATAGTCGAAGTTTATTACCTCCCTTGTCATCTCGACCAGTCGGACAATCTATTTTCTTTTTCCATTCATTAAAACATTTTTCGTGTACTGCTTCCTGGACTGTGTGCACAATTTCCTTCCTCCGTAATCCATTGTCAACTTCTGTCAAATCAGTCAAGTCTAGTGATGACAGTTGTAGGTGTAAGCGCTTTGTCCAGGTTTTTTTTTTCTTGAAGCCATCTGTTTTGTCCAGTTAAAAATCTTATAAGTTAGTCTGTCTGGGTTTAAGCAAGTAAGTCTAGTGTACATTCTCATGAGAAAGCCCCAGAGTTTCACTGGTGTAGGTGTCCATCCCATGTCGCCTGTCACTGCAGCGTTGGGGGTAGATTTCCGCACTTCCATATAGAATTTCATAGCTCTGTTTTGTATAGTCGTTGCGTATGTAGAGTTTGAGGTCGCCCAAATCGCTGCTCCGACCATGGCGTCAAAGAGTTTCCTGTATGTGGTGTAGTGCATACCGCCCATGGACTTGAATTTAGAAATCGGTAGACCCAGCGCTCGACCTGCCGAACTAGCTACAACCTTGGCCATCCTTGTGTAGTCTAAGTGTTCTGTTATCAATAGGCCTAAATAACAGTAACTGTCCGTTAGCTCTAGTGACGTAGGACCACACTGAAAAATACAAGTCGTTCTTGGCATATTTACAGGTCTACAGTGTAGAACTTTTGATTTATCCGAGTTTACAGTCATGAAATTGTTCTCACACCAGTTGTGTAAAATGTCTAAAAGTACTTTTAGGTCCGCTTCATCTTCAGCTAACAGGGCCAGATCGTCTGCATGAGCTAGCACAGTCAGTGTTTCGTCAATGAACTTCACACCAATATTGAAACTCTTTATGGTAGTTATCAAATCATTGACGTAGACGTTGAATAGCAGAGGGGAGAGAAGGCATCCTTGTTTAAGCCCACACTTGACGTTAAACCATTCAGTCATATTTCCATTTATTCTGACACAACTCTTCACACTCTTGTAAAGGGAGATAATAGCTTCATACATCTTTCCAAAGATTCCAAGATCAGACAGTTTTCTCCACAATATAGAACTATCAATATTATCATAAGCCTTTCTAAAATCTATGAATGCTAAAAACGTCGATTTCTTTAAAGATTTCCGAGTTTCCACTATGGATGTGAGTGATGATATATGTTCTACTGTGGACCTGCCCCTCCTGAAACCGTTCTGCTCCTCAGCTATACAGTCCCTGGTTTCTGTATACTTGTACAGTCTTGTATTCAGCACCGAACAGTACAGTTTATAGCTTGAATTTGTCAAGGAGATACCTCATGATGATAAAGGGTCATATTTATCAGCACATGATGACTTCGGGATAGGATTGATGATATATATCCATGACATATATACATGTATATACAATCAATCACAGCGTACCGGTGTAAAAGCAGTTAAAACAACAATGATATTTGGGATAAGGTTACGCCAGTGACACAAATAGTGAGGATAAAGGGATGTGAATACAGTAGAGTGATGTACAGCTAATTAGGTGACGATTAGATTTGCCGGAAGCCAGATATGTACATGTGAGGAAAAGTGAAATTGGGTTTTACGTCGTGGTTGAGAATATTTCGCTCATATGAGGACGTGCATGCGTGTGTATGTGTATGTGCGGCTGCTTGTACCAGTCCGGACTTAAGCTGGTTTTATAGTGCTAGCCCACTGAGATACCATGCCGCAGTGAAGCATGAATACCCCACTCAGACACATTATACTGACTCCAAGCCGACCAGTCCTTGTTGTACCCATTAATGCCGAGCGCCAGGCAGGGACCAAGTACCATATTTTAACGTCTTTTGGTATGACACGGTCGGGGATCGAACCCGCGACCTTCCGCTCTCCGGGCGGACGCTCTAACCACTACACCACGGAGGCGGTCAGAGATGTACATGTATATACCTCAATCATTGAGGCAAGATCAAAAAGAAGTTATAAAAACAATGATAATTAAGATAAGGTAAAGCCAGTTGACACAAACAATGGGGATAAGGAAATGTGAACACAGCAGGGTGATGTACAACTGATTAAGTGACAATAGAGGTGGGTATGGTGCGGCTTTTGTGATGTTCCAGGCACTAGGGAGGTATACACCTTGATCTCTGTTAATCTCTGGTTTTAATCTCCTTATGTTGATGGCTTCTAATATTTTCCGTTTTCGCCAATCGTGAACATTGGTAGCCAAGATGCTAACACAAATTCATGTAATTTTAAATTCTAAAACACCAAACAACTCTGTATACTTTCTTTTGTTTTTCAGTTGAAAACATTGTAGGTCTACGAAAGAAATTCGCCAACTTCAAAAAGGTATGAAAAAAAGGTGGAGAACGAATTGAAATTGTTTTGAACACCATAGTGGCGACATTCGCATGGAACTTAATTAAACACTCCCGTATATATTTCATCATAGTGATGTAGCTGGCGCTGATGATGACGTGTCAACAATACCATTGTTAGTAGCACATTTCAGATAATAAAACACGAGATTTCTGACCTACAAAAACATCTCGAACTCTCTCCCTCCAGATATCGTAAACACCAATACTCTTCGGGAATTCAAAAACAAACCAAAAGAACAGAACACCAGTGAAATCTACTTTAATCTTTCCCATGGTTCAAGATCTTGCCAGATAATCCACTCCCGACTTCGGCTTGAGTGTAGCGATCTAAATGGAGATAAGTTTTCCAGATATATGTCTGATAGTCCTGAATGTAACTGTGGGCATCACACCGAAGATGCGCTTCATCTGTCCCATATTTAACGACATAAGATCAAATGTATACTTCTTTAGTAGAGGATTTAATTAGCCATCAATCTTATTTGGTCATTCGGGCTCATCAGAACAGGTAAATCTGGAACTACTAAAATCGGTACATAATTATATCATATCTTCACAGAGATTATCGCAATTTACCTAGCCTAGTTTTATTGTACATGACGTGCCTTGCTGTTATACTGAGATCACAACAGCTTCTAGTTTATTTGCCTTCAACGTATGTTTGCAAATTGTAACACATTATATTGTCAATATTGTTCCTTTAAGTTTTGCACCCAGCGCATGTGTACGTCACTATCATTATTGTTAATACTATTGTATCATTGTTAGGGAGCGGCATTGATATAAGCATGTTTTTATGCTTGTTTACCAATCCCATCATGACTAAATGAATAAATATGTTTAAACCAAGCTTGCTACCCATTGATATCATTGATATCTCTGCCTGGGCGAATAAAATCAAATATGCCCTCTGTGTCAGTCATACACGTTAATATGGCCAGAAGAAGACTTCGAATGAGACCGCAGCTAGTGGGCATGCATGCAGCTGGAACGTCATTCAAGGTCATTGGATGGTCGTTTGAGAGCATTACCATGTGCTGAGGAATATTCGCCCTGTTGTGGAGGCTGACATCCAGGCACGTGGCGGATACACGATATTCTGATGTCAAAGACCTCAGTAGACTTCAAATGGCCTATACAGATCGCGGGATCCGACACTATCTCATCACGTGTTGTGCCAGGACAGTTTGTATTCAATGATCTGCTTTTCCATTAAATCAACTACGTTGACACTTCTTACGTACAGGACGTACAGATTAACACATTGCCTACATTTTGCAGGTTTGTCTGTAGTCATTATTCAATCTTCCACCAAACAATCAGGCATTATTGTCCTAGAAGCATGAACATTCTGACACTTTTCTGTTCATATCTCTGTTCTAAAACATGGGGGTGCTTAATTAAGTTCCATTATATAAATGTTTTCACTCACATGAAACAGAAATTGATTTGTTGCATTCAGCATGTGTAAGAGTTAAACTTACAACAACATAACAAAAGGCTGAAATGTGTCACAAGCTTGTTTGCAAATGAGACTGAGGCAGTTTGTACATCAGTTAGAGTTTCAAGATAGAAAATGCAGGTTGTAGGAGAGAAAATTCTGATTCACTGGCAAAACTGATTCACTGGCAGTACGTATTGTAACATGGAGCATCTCCAGTAGATAGTGTATCCTGAGGTCAAATGACCTTTTCAGCAGTCTCGGCAACAGATCCATTGGTCTCCCATACCCACGATATTCTGTTATGATATTGGCTTGAAAAGATATTCAAGAAACACTAACTAGCTATATTTTTCTAATGTACATTCAGTGTACTGCGACACATAAAATATTCTGCATCCCCGGATACTTAGAGTGAGTATGTTTTACGCCCCTTTTAGCAATATTCTAGTAATTCACAGCGGAAGACCCCAGAAATGGGCTTCATACAGTGTACCCATGATAGGAATCGAACCCGGATGTTCAAAGTGATGAGGCCTAAGATCTAGAAAATGCACCTGTGGCATAACATGTAACTTTTCTCCACAAGAGTCTAATTTCCCGTCGGAAATACAGATTACAAAAGCCGTATATGATCGGATTGACGACACTATTGATGAAATGCGACCTCAGGAACAAACTGTACAGCACTGCCCTAGCTCCTTGAATGCCTGCAAACGTTTCCTTAGAGGCTTGTCTGGCCGCGATTATACACAGATGAGGAAGAAAGCTCAGTACAAATACAAGGGGTGATCAGAAACAACATAAACAGTGTCTTGTGTGACCTCTTGTTGTTTCCTGACGATGAATGTGTACTTAGCGTGCTAGCAACATGGACATCTTCTGGTGGGTCCAAGCCGGTAGAGGTACCTTTCGAGGAACTCATTCCTTCATCTGTTTCAGACTCTCCTTGACGAAGGTGTTCGTCAGTTGGTGGGCTCGATTCTGACGCTGCACACGTGTTTTCAGGAGCATGAGACTGGACAGTAAAGGACACAATAGATTTGTGTAACTGCTGCTCTGGGTTCTGCCTGGTTCTGTTCTTGTTGAAGAATGTCCTACGTCTAGCAACCTGCCTCCATATTAGGCTGTAGAGGACAAGAAGGCATAGTGTAGCAGCCACGAAAATGAAGAACTGAGCACCATTATAGATGCTTGGATATGGCGTCCCACTGTAGTCGTCTGATATCGAACAATCTGAACCGTTGATGTGGATGTTGTTTGTGGTCACTGTTCTTACACCGTAGATAACAGCAACCGGTAAGGCGACAATCAAAGACATGACTGAACACACAGCGATTGTGACTTTAGCATCTAACCATGTTGCCTGTCTTTGAAAAGGTCGGCAAATTTTCCTGTACCTGTCCACTGCTACAGCTAGGAGAATGGATCCAGAAGCATACGATACAAATGCCATGATTACTCGCATGATCTTGCACAAGCCGTATCGTGCTAATGTGTATCTATATCTCAAGTCAGCTATTTCATGAGGTATGCATATGCCACAGTTGATAAGGTCAAATATTGCCAGGGCTATTATATATCTATTGGTGGGGCTTGGTTTGAACTTTGCAATGTACACGTAACAGACAAACGAGTTCCCCAGAAGCCTAGCACCATCAGAACAGCAAGACACAAGATGGCGGGCAGAACCTGAAGGGCGTAACGATCGTTGTATTCACGAAGGAAAGTCTTAAGGTCGTTCTGGAAACTGGTGTTCTCCATCATATGCAGAGACTGCTGGAACGTCTGAATGACCGATGGGAAAAGTGTTCGTCTTCTCTGGACATCAATGGCGACCTGAAACAGTAAATAGAACTGGCTTTGTTCCGATTAACATTAGTTAAGGTAATGGCAGTCCGAATCCTCTGAGGAAATGTTGATACCAATAAAGGCTGTTCTTGCATGAGTGTCAACGTTTTGCTTTCATTATGCCATTAGCTCAGAGTCAGCATTTACGTGGGGACCCAACCAAATACTGGAGACCTTACCACTGGGACGGTAACCCTCAACCCTTTCTTCAAATCGAATGAAGGCATTTCAGAAAGAAATGTTCCCACTACACACTCTTATTGCAAGTATGAAAATAATCCATACGGTCCACTCAACATGTCAGAAGGCAAAAAAACAAACAAATGTGTTGACCAAATCAAACTGTTATGACCCTATTTCAGAGACACATAATGTATGTCTGAAAACGTCACCCCAAGCCCCTCCACCACGTTAAATGCAAAAGACCAAAAGAATACAAATAATGTTAAATCGCCAGCTCCTTGACTTCTACTAATGGAGCACCTAGGGTCATCAAAAGAGGGGAGTACACAAACCAGCAGAACCACATTTTCTCTTGTGGTAAAATTTGATGCTCTGTTGTTACTGACACTGAAAACCCACCATGACATTCTGTGAAATGATGATGTTTTGAATAAATCAGGGGTTTTCACCGCTAGGTATTTATGGACCCTTTTGTCTATGATTTAGATGGGTATATCTGATGAAAGTATATTTGTTTACATCATTTACTTGGTTTACTCATGACAAAGTAGTGGAAGATAAAATTATCAGATTTTACATCGTGCACACCACTGACACATAGCATCTGCCCTTAGTCGAGTAGCTCTGGAGCCCGTATCATACACTCATTGTAGTACTGTGACAAGTTGGCTTTGTTTTGGCCCTAACAATGAACCGTTTCAACTTCTGAAGAGCTACATCTGTTTTTACATGTTAAAGATGGTCTTGATCTTCAGCCATCTTTGAATGGGACTGACTGTTGATGCTATCATCCAAACCTCTTTTTATTGGTTCCCAAGATTATAATATCACAACTATACAAAGCCGTGATACATACGGCTTAAAGTAATACAGCTACATTATGTACAGCTATGTTATCTATATATTAATATATTCATATACATGTATAAATCATTAAATAGATAATGTTTAGATAATGTCAGCTACAACTCGATACAGTTGAGAATCATTAAGTACTGGGAAGAGAAGGCTCCATTTGTGATTGAAATTATTTATTTTATTATTAAATTGTTGATATATGATTTTCCACAAAGAATATTTCTTTTTAGAGTTTTTATATATGACGTTAGATTTGGAAGCATAATTTTAATACTTCATATATGAATATGTCTCTTCGCAGCAATGATGATATAATTTATCATTCTATGTTCATGTGGATTACCAAACCAAATTATGTTTTTTGGATATCAGTGGATGAGGATTTTCCATTTTGTATATATTATCTAAATAATAGAAAACAGTTTACAGTAATAAGTGGGTATAAATCAAATGTTAAATCAATTGAAGCTGGCGTCCCTCAGGGTTCTGTCCTCGGACCTTTACTCTTTTTGGTTTATATCAATGATATTGTTGAAGATATACAGTGTAATATTAAATTATTTGCCGATGATACATCCTTATGTGTGATAATAGATGACCCTATTTTATCTTCCAATATGTTAAATGATGATTTAGAAATAATAGCTAAATGGGCCCAGACATGGAAAGTAGACTTTAATCCCAATAAAACTGAATCTATCATTTTTACTAGAAAGAAAACAGTAACACCAGTGCCAGATCTTATAATGAATGACATACCGATAAAGTCTGTTGACACTCATAAACATCTAGGGCTGACTTTACAAAGCAATGGCCACTGGAATACACATATAGATGATATTATTTCTAAAGTTAGTCCTATGATCAATTGTTTAAGAAGTCTGAAATACTGCCTATAGAGGGGAACCCTCCAAACCCTGTATAGTTCATTTGTTTTACCACTTTATGACTATTGTGATTATATTTGGAACAACTGTACACAAACTCAAGAGTTATTGTTAGAAAAACTTCACTTATATGCTTTAAGAACGATATGTGGATCTGTTAGAGGAGTCAGCCATTCCAAAATCTATCATGAAACTGGTTTTTCACCATTAAGGGAACGTCGCAAAAATCACCAAATGTGGGTATTTCATAACATGTTCCATAATAAAACTCCAAAGTATTTATCAGATCTAATTCCAATTCATATATATATCCTCTGTATCCACATATGAATCTAGATCTAGTAATATACTCCCAAGTACCATTATGTCGTAAGGAAAAATAAAAAATCTTTTTTACCATCCTCTGTGATGGAGTGAAACAAGTTAGTGACTTAAATGCACATAAATTTGACCGTTTTCTTCAAAATACGTCTACTTGCTCTTGTGGCCATCATTATGAAGATGCCATTCATTTTCTATTTATCTGTCCAAATTTTACTACAATTCTATCGAAGTGTTTCTATTACATAAATGGTTATAATATTCAATCTGTATTATGTGGAAGTTACTCATATATTGTAAAATCTGTACATGACTATTTTACCTTAACAAAACGATTTTTACCTAACTGATTAATTTTACTACTGTCTTTTCATTAAGTCTTTTACTCTTCAAATGGTGTGTTCTCTTGTCTGTAACGATGAATGTATGTAAAATGTTTCTTATCGCATTGTATTCGGAGAGGTGTATATATAGGCTTATAGCCTGTTTACCAATCCGTTCATTAAATAATGAATAAATATTGTTTAAAACAAACAAATGTTCACATGCTACCAGAAATTTATTCCATTGTGATCTAGTATTATGTGTTATTTCAGAATCCTTCCACAGTGATGCTCAATTTGACTTGATAATTTTACTAGCTAAATTTCATATCTATAAATGTAAACTTTCAAATCGAATTCCACATTTACCCGTATTTAAAAAAGAATTGAAATATTACCGTAAAATAGAAAAAAAAGATTTTATACCAAAGCAAAGTTTGAAGAATACCATAGCAAATAGAACAAATTTGAAATCTTTTTCAGGAGTAAACATTGACAATGTAAGTTAGTTTATTTCTGGTTAATTCATCTATAGTATGAATGTGTGAGTGAATGTTGTATTTATGTGTAAAAAAAACCCAAAACAAAACTATACCAGTTTATATACAGTGTACATGTCTTATACAACTCTAAACGTTGACTCCAGAAGCAATTGGAACTCCAATGTAACCCTACATGTTCGTTTGCATAATTATATAGACATCATATTGCAACAGTGAGGAGCATGACAGTATACCTTTCTAAATCAAAGGGACTGTTTTCCAGTTCTCCAGTTCTGGATGGATTAAACGGCCCAATGTAGGCTCTATCAAACATCCGTGGCATCTATTTCAAAGCTGTATATCACCTTCTGCGCGGCTTTTCCTTCTGCATGGTATTGGGAAGTGTTGTTAGTGTCTGTCAGGCCAGCATGACATATAACACTTTGGAACCTTGTGGAGTAATGTGCAGTCATGGGACAAACCAGACATCATCGTACAAGACCTGAACCTCTACGTGTCAAGCCAATTCTCCCTCCCGCACCCTTCAGTATCTTGTTGTTGGTTGTCTGTACAGTAAAGTCCATCACGACAGTATTGAGCTTTAAGCGAGACACCTTTGCAACAAAGTCCTTATTTTGAAATGCTTCCACCAAGTCTGTCGGTCTTCATCAGCAGCAGTGAAACTGGCAAGCAGAGGGAGTAGTTCCCACGGTTGGTTGCATACAGGAGTGTCATTATTTTGGCTTCTATATTCTGGTTCTCATGCCTAATTCTGCTTTTGATCTAGTGAATAGGTCGAAATTATGGATGGTGTTGATAAAGACAGGGGTTTCTCCAAAAAATGTTAAACGGAGCACAAGCTTTATACAATCGAGTACGTCCATGTGTTAAGTATAATAATATGTATTCGGATATGTTTGACTGTGGTTTGGGTGTACGACAGGGCTGCGTCCTCAGCCCTTATCTGTTCTCTATCTTTATTAATTTATTAGCACAGGAAATTGAATCCACATGTAAACCCGGTATCCAGATTCATCCAGAGATGATTGAACTGTTCATATTATTGTTTGCCGACGATGTCATTTTGAAATCTGACACAGTCTTTGGTCTCCAGAAAAGAATAGACATTCTTGAATCATATTGCACTAATTATCAGTTAACAGTTAATTTGGAAAAGACTAAGAGTGGTTGTTTTCAAGAATGGGGGTATTCTCTCGAGAAGGGAAAAATGCATTCTGGAGAGAAATGTCTCGAGTGCGTGCCATTCTATAAATATTTGTTTATTACTTTTACTAAAACATTGTCGTGGGATAAACATACCAAAAGTGCAACTGCTCAGGCTAGAAAATTTCTGTTAGGTATATTAAGGAGATTACATAGATTTAAACCAATTCCGTCTGAATTATTTTTCAGGATATTTGACACTACAATTATGCCTATTTTACTCTATGGGTCTGAGGTGTGGGGGTTAAATAGCGTAACAAATATAGAAACCATTCATATGTTTGCGAGTAAACGCGTCCTTTGAGTGAAGACATATACACCAACTTACACAGTACTGGGTGAATGTGGCAGGTACCCTTTGTATATTTTCGCATTTAAACGTCCCATAAAATGTTGGATTAGATTATTATATATGCCTAATGTAAGATATCCAAAGAAGTGTTATAACATGCTTTTACAAGCAGCTAATAATGGTAAAAATAATTGGGTTTCCAAA